TTTAGAACAGATTAAAAAAGACCTTGTGACTCCACAAAATAATCATAAACAACTACATATTGAATGGATACCATCTCATGTGGGAATACCAGAAAATGAGATAGCTGATCAAATGGCCAAAAAGATTGTAAAATGAAGAGATCCGATGATAGAACTTACTAAATTCCTCACTCAGATATGAAAAAATTGATCAATGAGTACACAAAAAACTTATGATTACGAAGACAAGGCAAATAATAAATTGTGGCAAGCAAACCCAGATCAATCAGCGTAAACACCAACTTAAGTAAAGCGAAGGGACCAGGTTGTACCACATCGTATCCGAATAGGACATACTAAACTGACGCACGAACACATTCTAAGAAAGGAACTCCCTAGAATATGCTACGCCTATGATACCAATATAACTGTAACCTACATTGTTATAGACTGTCCATTATATCAAATGGAAAACAAGCTACTGGACTATCAAGGGATATAAAGTGCGCGTTAGAGAGTGCGGATTGTGACAAAATCATTAGGTTTTTAAAGAAAACGAAATTGTATAATCAAAAACAAGTGATACTTCAAGAATAATTCTAAATTATAATCAACTTTGTAAAAATTTTATGGATTATAGTTGATATTAATCATTATAATATATTATAGTCTTATATTGTACCACCGCTAATAACCTTCTATGGTTGATGCGGGTTATTTCCAATAAAAATAAAAACAAATAAATAAATCACTACAGTTCAATATTTTTTTATTGTGCAAAACTACTACTTGCATACACACATAAAAAAATAACACAGTGATTATATTTTTTACTTCTTTCCCTTCTTCTTCTTCTTTTGTGCATCAGGCCACGGAAATCCTCTCCATCGCAACAAATCTTGAACGTTGTGACAAGTAGTGTAAGCATTTTCCATAGCCACCTCAGTAAAAATATCTACGTTGCATCTTGCACTTTTAGATCGCGATTTGCGTCCACCTCCTGCCTTTTTTGGTTTACCACCACCTTTTTTCTTGTTAGCATCGCCGTTCTTGGCACCGTTTTTGGCTTTTTTCTTTTTGCCTTTGCCCGCCATTATTTATTTATAGGAAAAATACTAATTAAAGGATTGTTAGATTATTCAGAAATGAGTGATATGTTTGATCGATAAATGTTTGTCATGTTAGTTGCCATATAAACGGAATGTTGCTATGGTTATTTATGTAACAAATAAACAAATATATATATATATATATATATATATATATATATATATATATAAAATATTTTCTAGGGTACATGTCAGGTTACATCGGTCTGGAATTAAAACCATTCTGTTGTTTAGTCACTTAATATTTCGCCAACTGATTATTGTCTTCATCAGAAGTGCTCCGCAAATTTGTTAAAACAAAGATATAAGCAACATTACGATAAAATTACATAAATATATGCTTACAGATGTAGAACTGTTCACAAAAAAAAGGACATGATAAACATTTGTTTGACACTTTTACAATTAAACTGATCATTTTGAAAATAATTTAATATACACATAAAACAACAAAAAATGTATAGTGGAATAGTATATTAGTATATAGTAATAAAGAAAATGAAATCTTATTTGTTACATTATTAACGAACTGCAATCTTTTATATGTAAAGTTCTTTTGAGTATCTTTATCCAATGGTCCATCATAATAGTGTGAGTTGTAAATTAATTGTTTAAGGAGTGCCTTTGGATAACCGTTATTATCTGTAACAAGTAATTTGCTTTGACTATTATTTAGAAACTGGTCGTCGCATATATTGAGTATTCTATTTTTCATAGCGAAAACTGGGGTACTCTATTGTTAGTTTCTCTTTCAACAGTAAATTGTATTTTGTTATTAAAAGAGTTTAAGGAGGTACAAGGTTAGTAACATCCGGAAATGTGACAATGCGCTTTTCGACCATGCCGAGAAGGCGTTCTATTGGAAACTAAACTCCACCGTTCAAAGTGCCAATAAATCCAAGCCAAGAATAAATTTAGGAGTTTTGGAAAATCAACTTTCCACACCAGCTGCTCTTAACACCAATGCTGGATGAATAGAAGATACGACGCACAGCTGTCAACACTACTGTACAATTGTCTATGAACCCTTCACCAAAGAAGAAATCTCTAATATCATCAAAGAACTTCATAACTGGAAATCTCCTCGACCAGACGGAGTTTAGAACTTCTGGCTTAAGAAGTTCTGGAATACTAATGAGGGCTTGCCAAAACTAATTAATCGTGTTATTCTAATCCGCAGGAAATACCATCATTTTTAACTCAGGGAACAACTTATTTAATACCGAAGGATCAAAATAATACCCTAGATTGAGCCAATTACTACCCAATTACGTGTTTTCCAACTCTGTATAAATTAGTCACATCCTGTGTAGCCCAACGTATCTACCAACACTGCGCTTTAAACAATATTATAGAACCTCAACAGAAAGGATGCGCTAAGGGCTCCATGGGTTGCAAAGAACAACTTATTATCGACTCAGTCATTTTTAACCAGGCATACACCAAAAAAAAAGAAACCTCTTTACTGCCTCTATTGACTATAAGAAAGCCTTTGACTCAGTGCCGCATGAATGGCTGGTAGATTTATTAAGAATATATAAAGTCGATAATATTAGAGTGACCTTCTTAAGACATGTAATGACAGATTAGAAGACTAAAATTCACTTCCAAATACCTAGTGAAAACAATATTTAAACAAATAATATCGCAATTAACCGCGGTCTATTCCAAGGAGATTCGCTGTCCATTGTGGTTCTGTCTAGCCATGAACCCACTATCCTAGCTAATTGAACTCTACTGACTCAGGTTTTAGCATTAAAAACAACAACACTGTAGTGGCGAAGCTTAATCATCTGTTGTATATGGATGATTTGAAACTTGATGACTTTCACTCGAAATCACTTAGATCAAATGCTAAAAACTGTAAAAAAATTTCAAATGATATCAATATGCACTTTGGGTTAGACAAATGTCGTATGTTAAATATAGTCAAGGGAAAGGTTTAGCCCGGGGCTGAACCCCCGCTGCATTCGATATGTAAGATGGCCAAAACATCGAGGCAATCGGTAAAAATTATGGGTGCGAAGAGTAAGACAACTAAATCGGTCATATCTAAATAGAAAAAAATTGTTTAAGGCATTAAACACTTCGCATTTCCGCGCTTAGCTACTCACAGTTACTTAAAGGTACAAAAATACCATCCTCGAAGTGCAGTAAAAAGAACGACAATTTTTGGGAGATACACCGACGTACCAGGTCACCTAGGACTCTATAACATAGAAAGAGTCCCACCAGAGCTCAATCCTTTTGATACCGTAGGTATTTTAATGAGTGAATTTTCCCCTTAGAGGGAGTGTGAGCCGTATGGCTAAATCTGGATAATATTGTCTAACACTAATTAATGTAGCGATACCCAACAACAATAATCGTCGTGTTAAACAAAACAAAAAGATCACCAAGTACAGAGATCTGGAAATTTAAGTACGAAGACAGTGGAGAATTGAAAATACCCCAACAATATCTATTATTCTTTCTACCTCTGGAGTTATTCCGAAGAACGTCCTAGAAAACATAAAAAAGCTAGGTCCGAATTAACATCTCTACAAGACCATGAGGAAAGCTGTACTGCTCTCAACGACAGAATGTGTACGAAAATTTTTAGGAGATACTCCAGCAGACCAAGTCATCTAGGGCTCGATAACACGGAAAGAGTCCCACCAGAGCTCAATCCTTTTGATACCGTGGGTATTTGGAATGACTGAATTTTCCCCTTAGAGGGAGTGTGAGCCTTATGGCTAAATCTGGATAATAATGCTGTCACTAACTTAAACAAATACTATATATCCTAACCAAATAATTAATAAATAAAACATAAATAGTTATGATATTAATGTTACATAAATCACAAAAACATCTGGAAAATATTTTTCAAAATTTATACCCAATAAATTGTAAAGACTGTAATTCAACATATATTGAGCAAACACACCAATACCTATATACAAGAATTGTTGCACACAAATATGGTGTACAGACCAATGCATTAAATACAATAGCCCTATCCAAAGATTCTCTAGAAAATAGGCATTCTTTTGTTTTTGAAAATGTACAGATTTTGGAAAAAGTAAAAAATTACAACAAAAGATGCATATCGAGAATGATTCACATAAAAAAGATCCAAATTCTATCAATAATAAGACCGACATCAAAGATCTCTCCAATATGTATCATAATTTTCAATTCGAATTCCATCATTGTTCTTTGCAGTCGTATTTGGCCGTCATAATTATAATAACAGCCTGATTGTTAGTTAATTTAATTCATACCGTTTTCTCTTGACTTTAGTGACAATAATTCATAAAACAAATCATTTTAGCAGCTTCACTAATTTCATGTAGAATCGTCAATGGCGTTACTTTCAGTATTGATCTCTATTTTTAAAACGAAAATGCGAAAACACTTTCGAATGTTATTTGATAAGCGCTCTTATAATAAAAATTACAAGTTAATATTATTGTTAGGGTCGCCTACGCAGATACTGAAAATCATTTAGAAAATAAAATAATCGTTCCAAAAGTGCAAAAAATTGTTCTGAAAATATTTGCTTTTGGTACTATTTGTGCAATAGATTTAGTAAATCGTACCCAAAGTTTAATTGTCAGAACTGCTGCAGAAAACAATATATTATAAAGGTACAATCATTGTGCACCAATCTCACTCTGTTACACTTTTCCAAGTTCAGAGGCCTCTGGACTAACTAATTAGCGAAATTATGCGTTTCCGCTTAATGGGACGTCCAGTATTATAAAAATTTTATAGAACACATCATTAAATGTTTAAAGTATATTGCATACAAAAAAAACAATGTAAAACATACCATTTCCATACAATAGCTAGTTAATATTAATATAACCTGTCTCTTAAAATTCGAGAATTTACGAAATAAAATAAACAGTATTACTCGTATAGACACAAATTCTCTACAATTTATTAAAAGTATACTCTTTTGCTATTTAGAATAGAAAAGAGTGTGAATTTAATATGCCTGTTGTTATTAGCAAAGAACTGTTTTATGAGAAGATAAGCAAAGAAATGGACTGTGGTCTCATACATTATTGGACACCTGATTGTGTAAAAGGAGCTTTACCTGTGTTGCCGCAAGTGGCTATTGGATCAGCCAAATTTTTCTTGCCTGTATATTTGGTAAGTTCTGTTTGAAAATAACGATTAATGATCTCTAAGTGAAACCACAAATTGTAAAAACAATTTTTATTTAATAGAATCCTGGACGCGTTTCGATACAGAGATCAGTAATCATTATTACCTCACAAACCACATTAGAGAGATGCTTTCTATTATGAAGTTCTGTTTGTTTTCCGTATTATCTTTTTAATTACTATTTTATATCCCATTTCTTGTATACAGCAAATTTGTGATTCCCGGAATGGAAAACTTTAGATTCTTGTTCTAATTGAGTAGTTGTAAATAATGTAACGGCTCCTAGAGCTACTCCTCTAAGTCTTTCCAAATCGATTATAGATATAAGAATCATAACTTCTAACATAAGTTCATTATTTGACTGGACTATTCTCTCAAATACCAATGGATTCAATTACTTTCCTATCAGACTTTCCTTGAAAGATATCGTAGTTTAAAATAGGTATACATTCATTATACATATGATATACTTTCATTTGATTTTAGCCACTCACATGCCCACATTTCTATTAGTTTATATCCTACTTCTTTTGTTTGTTTTGTTTTGTATCGGAGTCATAGTGATCTACTTTTGCTCCACACATGGTTACTTCACCACCGTTAAGGGCGAGTTGTACATTTGGAAATTTATTGTGTTTGCATGCTTCTTTGCTCTGTTAATCGTTTTAACATTGTTTAGTTGGTAGTAAAACGTTTCAACCTCTTTCTCATCTTCATTATTTGTGAGGAGCGTACACCTATATTGTGTTTACCTGGTCTCTCTATTTATTAAATTTCATAATTACAAGTATGTCTGAAATTTGTCTAAAGTCATCTTCTTCTTCTACAGCCTCCTCCTCAATCCTTTAGCCCTTGTCAGGGCGTAGTGAGACCCTAAATATTGTTAGTCTGCTGTCTCCATTGACTGCGATCTTGTGCCATATGGACGGCTTCATGTAGGGATTTTCCCACCAAACTCTTCATTTGGTCTACCCATCGTATTGGAGATCTTCCTCTTGGTCTTCGGCTTAAGCTCGTTTTTGTATCGATTTCTGAAGATTTCGTTTTCCCTCACAGGTCCAAGTATTCTCCTCAGTACTTTTCTTTCGAATGTGTCGAGTTTGCTTTTGGATGTTTTTTTCAGGATCCATGCTTCACGGCCATAGTGTGCTATTGGTCGAATTAAGGTTTTAATCGAATTGGTCGAAATATATGGGAGAGGGCAAAATAAGCTCTGTTTGCCTGCGTTATTCTCTTCCGTATTTCTACTCCCAGGTATGTTTCCAACTGTTCCAATGTCATCGTCATGTATAATGTTTTGTGGGACTATATTTCGTCTCGTCTGTATCATTATTTTTGTTTTTTCTATGTTAATTTCCAGACCTAACCTTTTTAAGGTAAACCTAACGTAATTAAGGAATAGAGAAACGCAAAAAATATAATGATACCAGTACAAAGCTTTCTGTGCATTCATATCTTTAATTTTAATAGTAAATCTTTCATGGTTTTCATGGTCACCCTGTATAATGATTCGACCTTTATAGCTTACCTTATTCAAATGCTTTATACAGTGCGTTAAGATTTTAATTAGGTATTGCACACTATACGGAGCGCTAAAATCGGCAACGTTGCAAATGTTCGTTCTCCGACCCGAGACTATCTGCACCGACAGAAAATCATTTTAGTTTAGTAACTCACAACAACGTTTTGGATGTACTTCTCTGTCGTCCGATCTCATGTTTCATTACGTATAGCCGATTTTAATAGTAGAAAATTCGATAAAAATGCACTGACCTAATCGGTGCATTATTATCGATTTTTATTAATGTGAAAATTTTTTTGTGGTTGAATTAAAAATAAAAGCGTATTTCTTTAAAAAGATAAAATAAAAAATATACTCTTATTGAAAATTAAAATATTATTCCTAATAAAATAAAAAATAATTCTTTATGACCTACAGAAATGGTTCAAATAGTTGACCTTCTACGGCTGAACAGTACCCCAATCTGTCATAAAAACTTCTGTGAACAGATGAAAGAGTTTCTGCTGTAACAGAATTGGAGACTTCTCTTATTCGATTTTTTAATTCATCCAAATTTTGGGCTCTAGACTCAGGATGATCATAGATAATGCTTTTTAAATGTCCCCAAAAAAAGAAGTCCATGGGTGTAAGATCTGGAGATCGCGCAGGCCACTTAATATCGCCTGTTCCACTGATAACTCGATTCGGGAAAGTATTGTTTAAATACTCCCTAATAATTCGAGCGTTGTGAACTGAACAGCCGTCTTGATGAAACCAAACATTCTCCAGATTTACATCAGGAAGATTGAGAATAGCGGGAAGAACATGATTCTGTAACAAATCGAGGTATACTCTACTATTCAAGTTACCCTCAATAAAAAATGGACCTATTATGTGGTCTCCTAAAATGCCAGTCCAAACGGTAACTTTTTGAGGACGTTGAGTTCGGTAAACAACACTTCTGTGCTGGTTTTCCCGCGCCCAATACCTCGTAATGGAAGGATTGTGTCACCCTACTAACGAAACAGAAGATTCATCAGTGAATAAAATGTTTTTAATAAAATTTGGTTCACTATTAGCCTTCGTTATTAGAGTTTCACAAAACTCCATTCTTCGAAAATAATCGTCTGGATAAAGCTGCTGCGTTTTCGAATATTTAAAATTCTTGTAACCGTGCTTTTTCCATACTTTCGTTACTGCTAACATCTAACTCTCTAGCAACGCTTCTACTTGAACGTGTTGAATCTACCTCGATTGTTGCACAAATTTGTGTATCCCGGTATTCTCTTTCCTCAACAGTTTCTGGTAACACATCTTGAGCGTGACATTTTCTGCAATTTTTAAGGCAATAACAACTCTCAAAATGTTTAACAATATTATAAATTGACTGTACACAAGGAATTGGTCTTCCCTCAAAAAACGCAGAAAATAAATCTACACACTGTTGCGCAGAATTGCCACTATACAACCATTTTATTATTTGAGCTTTTTCCGCGGCCATATAAACAGACATGTTTACAAAAATAAATTAAAACTCTACGCTGTTATACCTTTAAACAACCACGGTATAATGACAATATGACAAATTTGCCGACGGGCGACGAGCAACGACGAGTCAACGAAGCAGATATGTAGTGGCAAGTCGACGACGCGCAGTGTTGCCATTTATAGAGTGTATACCTAATCCAAAACTTAACGCACTGTATATGTTCTATCTGATTTTTAATATATAAAATAAAATATAAGAATATTATTCTGCAAGAATTTTGAATATTTTGTTTTAGTTACGAATGATAATCGACTACAAACGTAAAAAGAATAATATATTACAGAAATTTGTGATAAGGGAAATACGATCCATATTGTACGGTGTTTCCATGGGTGTTATTTTAGTTGCTTCAGTTTGTCTATTAGGGTAAGATTATACTATTAGAAATAGTATTTTTATTATTCTTGTATACATCGTTTTTAATTATATAGTCAATTAATTTTATTTTTTAGAAAAATATTCGGAAGAATTCACTATTATAACTTATTACTTATACCAGGATTTTTGTCTGGTTTTTCTGTTCTCTTAGAATCTGATGAACACCAAACTCTGGATACTCTCATTTTCTTTAATTCGGTAAAGTATTATTATGTAAAGTATATTAATAAATATTGTGGCGTTATAAAAATTTTCTTATTTTCTCTAAATATTAAATTGTCGTAGAATCATTATGGGCATCAAGAAAGATGTCTTAAGAGTACCCAGTCTCAAAGATGGTGACTGGATACTGTTAAACCTCTACAACATACATGAACTGTGAAAAGGACAATTTGTCCAATATATATGTAAAATGTTCAGTTGTAGATACATATTATACGTGTATATTATAAATACAGGGTGGTGAATTGTAAAACGGGCCATAGGAAATTCAATGGGAAATTCTGAATTGTTGAATTCCTACTTCCCTAATTATTTTACATCAAAAGTCATAAGAAATTATTTGTAGAGGACTGAAATATGTATTAAAAACAAATGTTAAAATTGTTCTACGAATTAAATGTATTCCAAAATTTTGTAAAAATATAATACATTTTTCAGGCCACCACACGAGGGACAAGAATGTGTATGACATGTTGCGTTTGGTCATATGTTATTATATTATCTATCTATGTATATGTTTCTGATATTTGACAATATTTGAATTTCCAAAAATTTTATTTTGTGAGTTATTGTTTAAAAAACAATACCTATAGTTGATTAAAAAATGTATTCAGTTGAGGAGCAACTAGCAATAATAAAAATGTTTTATTTAGGCAATAGGGCGCGAATTGTCAGTTGTCAAATATCAGAATCATCAATATGACCAAACGCAACATGTGATACACATTCTTGTACCTCGTGTGGCCTGACTTTAAGGGGTGGCCTGAAAAATGAATTATATTTTTACAAAATTTTGGAATACATATTTGTTTTTAATACATATTTTAGTCCTCCACAAATAGTTTCTTATGACTTTTGATGTAAAATAATTAGGGAAGCAGGAATTCAACAATTTAGAATTTTACATTGAATTTTCTATGGTCCGTTTGGCGATTCACCACTCGGTATATTTATAAAATAATATAATATAATATAATATAATATAATATAATATAATATAATATAATATAATATAATATAATATAATATAATATAATATAATATAATATAATATCATCATCATCATATAACGGGGGTCCTACGGCGATTGCCGCTTCCCGCATTTCAGCCTCCATCTTTTCCTATCTCCCTCTTCTAAGCCTCTAGATTGCATTGTTTTTGTAATTTCTCTTCTCCAGGAATTTGGTGCTTTTTCCCTTTTTCCTTCTTTCTGGCGGAACATACATTAAGGCTTTCTTTGGCCACCGCTCCTCCTCCATTCTCATCATGTGACCATACCATTGTAATTGCCTTCCGTGTATTCTATCTGAAAGAGTATCTCTAATTCCTGTACGGTTTCGTATTTCCTCATTCCTGATTCTTTCCATTCTCGATACTCGACATGACCTTCTAAGATAATCCATTTCCACAACGTCTACTTTATCTCGTTCATTCTTTGTCATCGTCCAACATTCGACACCATATGTGGTAATTGGTTCTACAATTGCTCTGTATACGCGAAGTTTGGTATGCATCTTTATTTTATTAGACCACAGTAATGAATTCAGTATTCGGATGCATTTTTCCCTTGCGTTATTCGGTTTTGTACATCTATCTTAACTCTGCCATCTGCTGATATAATGCTTCCTAGATATTTATACTGGTTGCAGCCTTTTACGACTGCGTTTTCAAGCCTCAGATCTGTGGTATTTCCTCCAATTTTTAAATATTCTGTTTTGCTTATGTTTACAGTAAGCCCCCATTTGGCATATTCCTCAAATAATTTTCGATTCATATAATTTATATCTTCCTCATCGGTTGCAACCACCACCTGATCATCTGCAAACAACAATGTATACAGAGTTTCTTGTCCCACTTTGATGCCCATAAATCTACATTTATTTCTCCAATTCCTCAATGCTTCTTGGACGTATATTTTAAAGAGTGTCGGTGACAAACAGCATCCTTGCTTTAGGCCTTTAGTGACTTTAAATTCATTTGAGGTTCTGGTTCCAATTTTTACACAACTAACTGCATTTTCGTACAATTTATATATCGCTCGGATATACGTCGAATCCAATCCGGACCTTTTGAGGACCTCAAACATTTTCTTTAACGGGACACTATCATATGCTTTCTCAAGGTCTATAAATACCAAATGGGTCTCTCTACTCATTTCGACACGCTTCTCAATTATTTGTCGTAGGATAAATATATTATCAAGGCAGGATCTCCCGGTACGAAAGCCGCTTTGTTCTTCAATATCTTGTATCTGTCTTTCAACCCTCTTCTTTAATATTCTGGCGTACAACCGTCCCACAGACGTCTCTTTTATTCCCTCTCTTATATATGGAGCTTATATAAGCTTTATTCCAATCTTTAGGAATTTCCTGGTCTCCGCACATACATTTATTGAAAAGGTCTTAATTATTCTAAAAGTGCAGTCGGCCCATATTTAACCAGCTCTATGGGAATGTCTCCAGGCCCTGCGGCTTTTCCGTTTTTAACCTCTTTTAAGGTTTCCGTCAATTCAGATAATGTTATTATAGGGATTTCCTGTCTTTCGTCTCTGTTGTCTATTAATTCCCTTATCTTTTCCCATCTGTACTCTACTCTATCCTCTTTCAGCAGTTTCGTATAATATTCTTCCCATTCATTTAACTTTATGAGAGAAATGTTGTCTTCATTTTTCTCATTTTTCCTAAACTGTTTTAATGTTTTCCAAGCTTGCGCCACTTTTGTTCCACCCATAAATCTGTCCAGTTCATCACACTTAGCCTCCCAGTTTATATTTTTCGCCTTATCCACGTCTTTTTTAACTTCTCTATTCCATTTAGCGTATATTTCTCTGTCTTGAGGACCTTTGGATTGAAGCCATATGTGATATGCTTGTTTTTTCTTGAGAACTTTCTCTTCTAGTTCCGTTGACAACCATTCAGGTTTTCCTTTTTTCCGATTTTCAACTTTTCCCAGTGCTTCATTTGCCGCTTCATGAATATATTTTTTAATTACCTCATACAGACTTTCGGGGTCTAAGTTCTTTGTTTCTATATTTTTTATTTTCTGAGCTATTCTAATTTTATATAAGAACTTTGTCGAATCTTTGTCGAAAGTTTAAAGCTTTCCAGGTTATATTTTATATTTTCTATGGTTGTTCCTATGTCTGTTACTTCATCATTTTTGTGACTTGATTGTTCTCTCTTAAATGCCACCATTACTTTTGCAATAATCATATGGTGGTCACTTCCACATTCTGGCCCTCTAAACACCTTCACGTCCTTCGTTTTAAGTTTAGAATCTTTACGATGAATGAAATAGTCAATTATTGATTTTAAATTCCTGGTAGGCTGCGTCCATGTAAATTTATGTATATTCTTATGGGGGAAGAAACCATTTAATATTTTCAAAGAATGTGCCTCGCAAAAATCTATTAATCTTTGACCATTGTCGTTCAGAATGTCTTCTCCATATCTCCCTATTATTTCACTGTTGGAGCTCTTTCCGGTTCTTGCATTAATATCACCTAAGATCCAAATTTCTTTCTTCTTATTAATTGTGGCTAGAACAGTTGTTAACTTGTTAAAGTACTCTTCCTTGCTGTCAACCCTTGAGTCATCCGTCGGTGCATATGTTCCAATTACCACTATTTCATGGCCATTTTTCTTAATTTCCATGAGGATAATTCTTTCATCTATTTCTTGCCATGATTTAATACATTTTTTCAGTTTCTGATGTATTGCTATAGACACTCCTCTTTTAGCTCGTTCGCTCTTTTCTACGCCACTATAGAAATGCAGGTATTCGTTTATCTTTTCATTTCCTCTTCCTTTTTTCTTTACTTTAGTTAATACACAGATGTCTAGTTTCATTTTACTCAGTTCACGGAAGACCTCCTCCTGTTTTGTCCTTATTCCTTGTATGTTCCAAGCACCCAAATTCATAATCCATTTTCTTTGCGAATTTCGTTTATAGTTTAATCCGTCCGAATTCCAAGGCTTTTTGCTGAAATTTTTAACTTTGATCATTTTTTCCGAGTATCGAGGAGTTGGCCCGATGCCTCAACCCCCAACTTGGAGGACCAGGGTTTTAAATCAGAGTATCCTTCTCTTATCTTCAGAGTATCTTCTCTAATATAATATAATATAATATAATATAATATAATATAATATAATATAATATAATATAATATAATATAATATAATATAATATAATATAATATAATATAATATAATATAATATAATATAATATAATATAATATAATATAATATAATATAATATAATATAATAGAAAAAATTTAATAAAATATGTATATAAGATGGAAGGCAATCGTATATACGTAATTTTGACTATTGGTCGTCTTCAGTGCCGCAGCCAAGTTAGAAAATGAGCATATTAACTTCGGAAAGGATCACTACAGGAGCAATGGGGCCAATTTGAGGCAATAATGTTAGAAGGCTCTAAGGATTCCAGACCTACAACTAAAACATCCACGGAGGAAGCTAGGCTACCCGAGGAAACGAATGTCAAACGTTTAGAACGTTTCAAACAACAGGAAAAGGTTAATGCGAGTTAATATAATCGGTAAAGTTAGTAGGTATCGGCATAGTGGGCAACAAAAAACTGGTTATAGTTTTTTTTGCGAAAAATTCACATTTTTTGACTTTCAATCGTTAATGAACTTAAAGAACCATAAAGAAATTATATCCAACAATTTGGAATTGAACGGACTAGGAGGTTACTCCAGGCATTGCCCTTCATAACGCTGTACTGTTTTTAAAAATTCACTAATTAATGCACGTTTTTTTCTCTACAGCTTGGACTATTTTAGAAGTTCGATATTTCGTTGACTTTATTTTTTCAACTTCATCGGGATCATAGAAATGTTCTATGATCATAGAAGTCTCTACTAACTGTATTTTCTTTCAGTTTATTGAAACCAACTTGAATGCTCTGAAATTTACTGCAACTAGACAAACAATTCTTTTTGTCATAGTTAGTGGAATTTTAATGCAACTTATTGAAAATAGAAAGGAAGAGCTTAATTTCAACTATTGGTGGTAAGTAAGCACACAATTTGCTTTCATTGACTTTTTCTCGTTTTCTTGTTTAAAATTACTGTTTTTTGCTTTGAAAATACAGGGTTTTTCAACATAGGGACTGTCGAATGTGACAGTGGTTGCGGGTACATCTACCAAATTGGCTGCCATTTATTCAGTTTGTTTTAACAAATCAAAATGGATCGACATAGCGTACATGTGCAAATAATAAAATTATTTTATCAAAATGGAACCGGATCGCTGAATCTGTGTACACTAAAATTATTTCTGAACAAGCAGGACTGAGACCCGGAAAATGCTGCTGCAGTTAAACTCTTAATCTTATCCAACATATTGAAGATGAGTTTGAATGGAAAGAAATAACAGGAGGAACGTTTATAGACCTGACTGCCGCCTATGACACAGTTAAAAATCAACGGCTGCTGGTAAAACTCTACGAAATTACAAAGAATTTCCGACTAACAAGGTTAATGAAATGTCTTCTTCAGAATAGACGCTTCTACGTAACGCTCCAGTCCAAGAACAGTAGGTGGAGGGATCAAAAAGAAAGGACTCCCAAAGGAAAGTGTCCTCGCGCCATTGCTATACAACATTTATACCAACGAGCAACACGAAACCAACAAACAAGGCAGTTTATTTACGCAGATGATACAGCTGTAGCAGCTCAGGGAAGTAGCTTTAATGAAGTCGAAGTAAAACTAACAGATGCCCTAGAAGACTTAACACTATACTATGACGAAAACCATCTGAAACCCAATCAGATAAATTGAAATATTAGTTTAGCTTTTACTCCATTTTTGCTTCGCAAGTCTTAGGGAGCACGGCGGCCTATATTTGAATTCGATTTCGCCAGGTAGAAATCGTATGATTTCTCTTTTTGTTCTTAGATGGCGTAGTTAAGTCCGTAAATAGTTATTTTTAATAACTATAATCTACCACGGGAAAATATTTGGGTTTGATATGGAGTAGTAACTATACCGTACTGAGGAGATCTAAAGAGATCGAAATACGTATATGCGGCTTGTTGCTGCTCTGTATCAAATCAAAATATAATACCGTCATTTGTTTTGTTTATTTACTTCATTTGGAGTACCAGAAATCGAATTCACTACGAATATAGGCCATGATGAACGGCATTTGGAGTGCAATTTTTAGACTCGCTTGCCGATGCATTCATCAAGCTGTGTGCTTCGCAAGTCTTAGGGAGCACGGCGGCCTATATTTGAATTCGATTTCGCCAGGTAGAAATCGTATGATTTCTCTTTTTGTATTCTAAGAATATTGTTAATATCCTTAGAATTCTGATTATAATATCTCATCATTTTCATGACTTTTAGGTTTTATACTCCTCCTTTAAGGAAAAACTTAAGTGATAATTACCAAAGTAAATGTTCTCATGAAAATAGTTGCAGATTTTTTATTACAAATGTAAGTATTGTATAAAAATTAAACAAAAACATTTTATCTTTTCATTCTAACAAATTATCACTTACATACATTGTTTTTGTGTTTCTAATATTTCTTTGGCAACTTCGTGGGACGACCCTCAATTTGTCCCTGAGCCGGTACTAGAAGATAATTTTAACCCTAATTTCTTCCGATACTAATTACGATACTTTAATGACACCACTCAACTGGTTCCCGAGCAGGTGATTATAATGTCTGGGAATACCAACTTGAATTTAAGAAAGTTTAAATTTATTTTCACTTTTTTTGTAACTTCTTGCAAGCGAAACATTATGGAATGCTTTTAAAGCTTCAGAAACGTGGAAAACCTGTGTTAATAGTAGAATCTCAGAAATTTGCAACACATAAAGAGTTAAAAAAATGGTGAAATGTATTGGAGATGTGCGATTCGCTCCTGTAAGGCTAAAATTAATACTGTGGGTACCGAAAACTTGATTATGTGCAGTGAACTAGAACATACTCAGGAAAAGAATTTAAAATATCTAAATAGGCAGATAGTGAGTGTTGGTGTTAAACGTAATGCCAACGATAACATTTGTGTGAAGCCTTGCAAAGTAATACATTCTATTTTAAGACAAAATCCTGCCCAGTTAAGTTCTTTTAACAGTCAAAGACAGTAAGTATGTTTGTAACACTATGTATAAGAACAGAATTTCCGGTTTTACCAAAAAGTAATTGCGTTTATATAAACAATGACTATTAAGACAATAAAAACTGAAAACATTGTTTTTATTACCGACGATATTGAAGAAATTATCTCGTATTTTCGAGTCTAACAAATTCTATATCGATGGTACATTCAGCTACTGTTCAGTTCATTTATTTCAGTTGCTTACTCTGCGTACTGTAAAATGGATATTATATACGACTTGCTTTTTGTTTACTACCAAGTAAGAAGGAATGTTCTTACAAAAATCTTTTTCAAATTCAATGTTTAAGCTTGGGATTAAATCTGAATCCAGAAGTAGCAGACATTGAAATAGCCATATATAATGCCATAAGAACAGTGTTCTCAAATTCCAAAATAGTAAGCTGCAAGTTTCATCTGGCACAAGCATGGTTCCTCAAAATTGAAATCTGGGCCTCGGTCTTGATTTCAGGAACTAAAACAGTGAAATTGGAAAATAGCTATGATATATATATTTGGTTTATTATATTATTATTTAATTAAAATAGTACACATTTTAGTCATCTTTGCAATTTTAATTTATTTACAATTGACTGTTTTACTCCATTTTAGGGACTCAAAAATTATTTTTTGTTAGGAGCTGGAGTGAATATAACCAAACGCCTATTAGGATCATTTAAATTTCTAATAAAATCTCCAGCAAAATTGGTCAATGTGGTCTTTCATAAATCAAACGTGTACTTTGGTCTACTGATTGCTGCTTACGTAGGAATTTATAGGGTAAGTTAAATTTTTAATAAGATAGTAATAATATTCTATAATTAGAAGACTCCTAGATCTTGTAGACAACATAAATTTAGCTCTAATGAAAAAAAGAGTAATAACACGAAAAAATTTGAAAAAGAACAAAAATAGTTTTATGGTATTCTCGTCTACTTTGCCCCTTTTCTACTTAATACAGTCATTGCTCCACCTCTTTTATAGAGTCTTAATGGTGATGTGCTTGCTTTTTTCATTGTAGTACTATGTTAGTGTCACTCTTTTTTTTACTATTTATTAAATGGTCACCAACAGTTTGAATCTTTTCAGATCATAATATGATAAGAATCATTGTCCAAACAGAGCCCATTTTCAATGGGCTAAAATAGACTCTAATGGACAAATTATGAAAACGAAATCAACAAGGTAAAACGCAGTCATTTAAAAAAATGGCCATATCGGAATTTCTTACAAAATAAGCCAAAGAAAAACAAAGACATGATCGCAGAAGTACCAGACCCAACAATGAAAACACTTTGTTTCCTTTCAGCTCTATAAACTTTTTCTATAAATAAAATAACTTTGATATCTTTTTTATAATAAGAACTGTCTTGCTCCTCAAAATAGCCATTAACCGCCTACACCACTTTTGTACGGTTAGAAAATCTTTAACCACTGAGCAAGTTTGTAAACAAAAAATAATCCAAGGGGGCTAAAGGCGAATAATGTGCATGAGGTAGCAATTCAAACGTCAAATTCATGTATATTCATGTATTTTGTCCATTGCAATAGCAGATCTGTGACCTAGTCTATTGCCTTGATGAAACAACACTTTCTTTTTAGCTAAATGTGGCAGTCGTCAATCAAAATTATCTTAAGCGTAGCCCAAAAAATTGACTCCATCTCTTGCCTGCAGATAAAACGATATTCGTCTTCATTGGAGCCCGTTCTTCCATTTAAACCCAATGATTGTTCTTTTGTCTAGGGTGTAAAGTGATGGATCCATGTTTTGTTCATGGTAATGAAACAATGTAAAAATTCTGTTTTGTTGCTGTGAAACTTTGCTAAATAGTCAATTGAAACATCTTCACGATATTGTTTTTGCTCGAGTTTGAAGCTTTTTGAAGATAACTTTCATATATCTGAATTTTCAGTTAATATAGCATGTACTAAACATTATAAAATGACTACTAAGTCAGTTAGCTCGCGCACTTTCAATCGACGATCATCCATTACCACTTTTAGATTTTCGTTACTATTTCTGGAGTCGTCGCCTTATCTGGGCAACCACTGCGTTTCTCTTCTTGGTACCTCGTACAGCCTCATTTAAACTTTGCTACCCAATATGTTAAGCTTTTATATTAGATGGGCCGTGGCCTTTCAAATAAAAGTATTGTATAATATATCGATGACCAATTTTTTCATTTCCACAAATTTTGCCAACATGATATTCGTGTTCAGCGACATTTTATTTAATATTTGCCGACTTAAAATTTTTTAATTTACAATTTTGTAAAAAAAAAAGTTTTCTAAATGTAATTTTCATTTCTTCATATTTGCATTAGTTCACAAGATTCCTTAAAATTCTCACGAATTGAATGCACAAAACTGTATCCCAATCCGTCTTACTGCGCCAATTTTAGCAGGTTCATTGTTTTATTTCCTCGAATATATACTACCGATGTACCGATTGTACCGATAGTAGAGTGATATTGTTGTATCCTACAACCTTTGTGTTGAGATTTATAGACATAATTTTAATGTTTTTTAATCTTAGGATACAGTCTTGGTTAGATCCTCTGGAAGTCTCTTATTTTATTTACCAAAAAGCCAGTTCCCAATGTGCGTTTCTTTAAATCTAGCGGTAGAAAATAATTTTTCCCTTTTTTTAAAACATTGTAACAGGTTTTTAATAAGGCATACTATTAATAAAAGCATTAATATTTTTTTGTTTCAAGGCTATCACGTGCTACCTGAGACAAACTCAATTATTAGGTGAGAAATGTCGTGGACTTCTCGCCGGTGCTGTAGCTGGTGTACCCTACTGTTTTTACCCAACTATTCAACTTCCAGTTTTGGCAATAACAACAACATTGCAGGTAAGCTCAAATGCATAATTAAATACTACCAAGTGTGTATTTCTATATTATTTATTGTTTCTTTAAAATCTAATATATATGTGGTTTACAGTTATCTTTTAGTTTATTTTTCTTCTTCTTCTTCTTTCTTCTTGTATGTAGGCTTTAAAGCCTGTTTCTTCTTTAATATTAGCTTAAATTAGCTAAATTGTTTAAATTGACGCACCATTTTTTCATGGTCTGCCAATACTTCTTCGTCCATTTGGTGACTTATCCCGTGCTATTCGTACTATTCTATCCTCTGTCATTCTACTGATGTGTTCGTTCCACTCCTGTTTTCGTTTTGTCACCCATCTATTTATATTGTTAGGTTTCGCTGCTCTCCCTGTCCAACAGACTTTTCCCTGATATTCATCTGAGTATTTTCATCCCTCTTGGTTCTAGTAGTCATCTCGTTTTAGATGTGTCAGGTCTTGTCTCCGCCGTGTATGTTAATATAGATCTAATTGCTGCTTTATAGATTATGGTTTTTGTGTCTTGTCTTAGGTGTTTGTTCTTCTAGATTGTGCCATTAAGAGATAATATCCAGCATATCCAGCTTTTTCGTCATTCGCTCTCATATTTCCTCTCATTTTCCACATTGGGAATAGTTTATATATTAACACATTTTCTTCTTCATTGTTCTCTATATAAGAAACACAGCTTATATTCATCACAGCTTCAGTATTTTAATGATGTTGTTTATTATTATTTTAACCTGTACTTTCACGAAATCACATAGTCTCTTCATTTCTAATTTCTTACAACCTTCAATCTTTTTCCAAAATGTCGCGTCTCTTTACGATTTTTTTTTTTTGATATTGCATTGCTATACATTGTATTATATATTGTATGTTTGTTCTCATTTGTAATGCCTTAATTGTCATTTATATATGAATGGATACCGAATGGAATGTATAAAAATTAAAATCAATTTAGTACACCTCTGCCTCATTTCTCGCAGTTTCACTCACTCACTCCATAATATTGTTGTTTTCTGACGAATTCCGATATTTTCACAGGTTTTGGTAGTTAGTACTCACTTTTTGCAAGACCCTCGTCATTTGATCGTGATTTAATCTATTGAAGGTCTTTGAGAAATCTCTAAATCACATGAAGACTGGTTTTACTATTTCCGTACATCTTTTAACCATAATCTGCAAACTGAATGATAGTTCTGTGTTTCAAAGGTTGTTTCTGAAACCAGACTAATTTTGCTTCAACGAAAGCCCAACTTTTTTAGTTCCATTTCTGACGATTTACCTTTTTTTTATTTCTTCGTGACAAAGTAGGATTCAAATTACTGCTCCAAATAAGGATAAAATTGTATAATTAAAAACAATTTAAAACTTTCGTTCAATCTACATCTGCAATATTAACAACAAATAATTGTTTTAGATTTTATATCACAACCTTTGCAAACAATACAATATAACCAACCACTTCTACCAAAGGTTATTGTTGTATCAATGTGTGCATGCCTGTAATATGCACACCAACTTTTTTTATCCAAATATAAGTTCACCGTATTACAGTAAAATGATCGACGCCTGTACTAACAGATTGTAAGTATATATAAACTCTCTCAAAAACTACTCTGGTAATAGTAAAACTAATATGGTTTATTATATCATTTTACTAATTATAATTGTTTGTTTTCAGAACCTCAAAAATATACGACCAGTTAGTAGAAAAATATTTTTTGTAAAATAAAAATTTTAAAAATATTTTTTGATTATTTATTTATCTTTAAATTTTTAAAACGTTAGCTCATAGTGAAATTAAGTTGACTACATCTACACAGTGCTGAATACGGCTCTGATTAGAATAACTCATATATCGGCAGTGTAGTAGCAACACGTTCCTGAGAGTTTTGGCAACACTAATCTGCATAAGCCAAAAGTTCCATTATTAACATGAAATAAAGTATAGTAAATAGTATACGTCGCTATGTTATTACTATTAGTTAACAAGAACAATCAACTACTTCAAAGGCGGGTCTAATACAACTTAGATACGGCGGGTCTAATACAACACCAGAGTTGGCGTTATCTTTATCCATTTGATCAATGGATCAAAATCCATCTGTGAGGCACAATATTGTACAAAAAAAGAGATCCTCATGAATTAGAAAACTACAGACTTATAAGTCTTTTTAGTAACCTATACAAACTTCTTACAAGAATAGTAATTAATCGTCTTGAGAAAAAACTTGATTTCTACCAGCCAATAGAGCAAGCGGGATTTCGTACCAGATTTGGATTAAATGATCAACTCCAGAGCATTAAAACGGTAATAGAAAAGACTATCGAATACAATCGACCACTCGTTCTGGCTTTTGTAGATTTCCATAAAGCCTTTGATACAATAGATTTTGACAAAATCCTAAAAGCACTACAAGCATGGTGAATTAACTACCGATATTCAAGGTTAATTTACAATACATACAAGAATACAACTATGTCGGTGAAACTACATAAAAACACGGATCATATCCCAATCGGCAGAGTCCTACAGGGTATTACCTAAACTGTTTACCGCAGTACTAGAATATGCTTGTAAAAAACTTAACTGGAAAGAAAAAGGCCTGAACATTGACAGTAGAAGATTAACAAATCTGAAATTCGCAGAAAACATAGTTTGGTTCTCGGACAACCTCAAGGAGACAATGCTACATAAACTTCAATTAGTGTGTGCCAGTGTGAGTCTTAAAATAAATAAGGGAGGATTATGTCCAACAGTGTCTATATCCTCCCGCTAATAACCCTTAGTAATCGGTGAGCTGTGAAAGCAATCAAAGAATAGTAGGCATTTAAACACCGTCTACATTTACATCTATGTTAATTTTTTCGAGGGCTTTTTAAAACTAGATATTCTTTTTTTGTAAAATTTATTTTAATAAGGTACACACGTTGTTTATATGTTACGTATACACAACAATACAAATTTATCTTCACAATTCTAAACAGTTCATGGTTTTTCTAACCATTCTTGTCAATCACACACTCGCCTGATTCGTATCTATTTAACTTCAACATTTACAACTTAGTTCATACATGCACAAAAAAACTCAAAAACTTAACTAAACAACTAAATCCCTACTACTACTTAGTTCCTAGGCCTGTTCTGATTTTTATCAGGTACAGGAATGGCGCCAGGTGGTAGATTCGGAAAATCGTTTTTGCCTTTGTTATTGGGATTATTTTGTGGGATGTTGTCGAGTTCATCTTCTTCTGGAAGTGGTGGTGGGATCGTAGAAGGAATGTCACAGTCGTCAGTAGGGGGTACAACGCATCTTAAAGCATGACGGTCGAATACCAACATAGCCGGGCACCGTTGGAGCCTTGGGTATCCTCCTTGGCATTGCCAGTATCTGTTGCAGGATTTTCCTAATGGTACGTTTCCGTTGGGGTCGTCGTTACAGAGAGCTGCAAAAGTAAATATCGATGTAATAATTGTACAATAAAATTGTTATGGAAATATAGGTTAGTTTTTCGTATATTATTACGCATTTCGCTAGAACCACTTTTGAAGATCTGATCAGTTTTCATCAGTTCTCCTGGAACATCAAGCAGAAGCAGAACCTATATAATCTAATTATAAAAAATATTTAAAATAAAATAAATCTAATTCTTACGATGTTTTTGACATCCTTCAACGTTTTCGGGCCAATCGCACGAATGGGTTTTTTCGTTGTAGAGAAGACCACCGATGCAAAACTGTTCAACAACGGTTCCATTCCAACACGTCCAATATCTGGTACACGACGTTTCGTGTCCGAAAATACCATACAGCCATCCGCAATGTTCGGTACCGATTGGTGGATCTAAAACAATTATTGTAAACTTTAAAAGTTAGCCAATATTTTTCAATTTAATTTATTTGAATACCAATACTTATAAAGTTAAATTACATTCAACCATAAATCTATAAGAAATGTACAACAATCTTGTAAGAATATTCGCAATATCTGTTAAATTATAACATTGGAAAGCACAGTTGGCTTTGTTTGCATGGTGAGCAATAAATAAAATGTCTCAAAACAAATAACACCTAGCACATAGTCAGCAAATCCTATCTCAGAATGATAAGGGTAAGGCCATAAACCACACCTACTCAGCTAAAAGTAGAAGTCCCCAATAAAAATCTTTCTGGTCCACCAAAATTAGAGGTTGCACCTGTTTCCCTACTACATGTAAAAAATTTGATTGCAAAAAATCTTGGAAAGAAAATACCAGACAGCCCCACTGAAAAATAAATGACCTTCGTACTGGTCAAATAAGATCAAATTTATATTTATTTAGTGGTAATGAATAGAATACTTTTTTAAAAAATGAGGGATAATTATCTGTAGACGGAGAAGAGATTAAGAGAACACCAAGACTAACAAAATATATAGATGGTATAATCGAAGCTGGAGGAATTACATACATCCAAGAATAAAGAACTTAATATACTGGAAATTATCATGATAATAAGTATTACTTACTTGCTTGTTGCTTTCCGTCGCAGTAATTCGCCCTCCAAGGGTAATCACATCCTTCCGTAACACCTTTGTTTTTGCCTGCAAACACTAGACCATTTGGACAATCGTACAATTCTGGTTGACCGTTAACACACTCCCAGTATCTATCACAGTACGTGATGTCGCCGACGACCCTGGACTTTATTTTACAAGGATCTTCTTGAGCTCCTTTTTGAGCACTGGCATAACCTGTAAAATAAATGGATAATATTAATAATACAATCCGGATCGAACTAGTATTTATAGTAAATAGAGTTAACACAATCCCTTGAGCGAAAAAAGATAAAAGTTTATGCGTGTAAATGAACAAGTACTAGTAATAGTATTAACTCAGTTAAAAAAGACACATCCAACCTGATGTATCAACGAGTACAGGTGGAGGTGTGTAGTAAGTCCGGCTGAAATCAGAATAGGTTCCCTTGTTCAAACTGATTTAAATCTATCTCATCCTATTTATAATTTTAAATAACCAACGGTGAAGTAATATACATGTTCAAAAGTTGTTTTAACACGTATTTGGGGTGCTTCTTCTTCAATTACTAGAAAATTATCTTTATAGATATACGAAGAAAGCTGTAAGGTTTTGAAAGAAAAGCCCTAAGGAAGATATTTGGACCTCTTAACAAAAATGGAAACGGAAGCGTAGACTCTAACTGAGGCTATCCTTAAACGCTTGACAGCCTTTGAGATTTGGGTATACAGACGACTACTGAAAATAAGCTGGGTCGACAGAGTTAGAAATGAGGAGGTTCTTAGACGGCTAAACCAAACAACACAACTGGTCAATATAATAAAGAAACGCAAGCTGGAATACTTCGGTAACATTATGAGACTCCCTGAAAAATATGATCTTTTACATCTGATCATTCAGGGAAAGATCCAAGGTAATCGTGGTCCTGGTAGAAGAAGAACATCATGGCTGAAAATTCTAAGGCAATGATATGGAAAATCAACTACATCGTTATTTAGAGCTGCTGTCAATAAAGTCACGATAGCGAATATGGTAGCCAACATGATATCCAACGATCGATAACGGTCATGGAACTAGAAGAATAAGAGCAAAAACGGAGTATAGAGAGGTACAACCGTGAACTCTACCAACTGATCAAGAAGGTACTACTCAAAATTCGTTAAACTTCAGAGACTTCGATAGTCTGGTGCTGATCATGTAGTGAGAATGTAAATAGTAAAATGCAGGGCGTAAAACCAAGAGGAAGGGAAGGTCTTGGAAAAGACCTAAGGATGAAGTACCAGCTAATAAGATCTGCCAAATAGTGGTTCAGAATTGTCTACAATTTAATCTATATGGCCATGGGCGTATTTTCGCGTATGGGCACTGGGAAGTATTATTCCCACCACCCTAATAAAATAGGTGGAGGTGCAAATTTTTTTGACAATATGAGTTAAGGGTGGTTATATAATTGTTAACCAGTCAAAGAAAATTGTTTAAAACTATTTAATTTGCTCACGCTCTTAAAAGGGTTAAATACTTTCCCGTTTTTCTTCCTTCTATAGATTCTTTGTCAACTTCTTCATCCTCTTGTATTCCACAATGATCTTTAAGCCAAAGTAGAGACGCATTTTATTTTATAACATATTCCAGTAATTTTTCTTCATTCTTGGGTAATATCGTATAATATACGTCAAGAATAATTGTAATGTAAAAAACATTAACTGAATCAACTAAAACCCAACCTTTTTCAGTTCCACCCAGAACGATTTATCTTTTTTTCGTGACAAAGTATGATTAAAAAAATCTTTGATATGTTTTAATCGTGGTGGGTGTTGAATGCGTGAGGTACGAAGTCAAGATCATTTCATAAGAAAATTATACGTTACGCCTTTTCTTCGAGGTAAGTGATAATGTAGAAAGTAGCATTCGGTGATGATATAACGTTATTTTTACTATTATTATCCGGTTTAAGTATTACTTAGACATGTAAAAGTTATGTAATGCCGAACCCATCTCGTTTATTATCAGAATAACTACAGAATGATACATTTTACAAATCATAACTTCTGACCCATACAGTTTAGTCTTTATTATAAAGATTATCGGCTAATAAGTTTAATTTTTATTTGTTTGTGCATTATTAACGGATTCTATTATTCAATAACAAAAATTTTAGAAAAAGTTATATTGATATATTCATATGATATAACAAAACATATAAACACTGTGAGGTGTTATAACCTATAATAAAGAAGAGTTACGAATGTCAAAGCCGTAAACGGGTTTTTAAAAAATTATTTTCGTGACAAAATTTATTTATTAGGAATGTACAAGTATGCTAACAACTACAAAACAAAAAGCTCTCTCTCAATCTAATTAAACACTGGGTTACCTATATAGTCTTTCTATATGTCGTCATACATTAGATAAACTAGGGAGTGCTTCTTTGCACAATAAGTTCTTGGGTTTCCTCCAATATTTAGTTAAATAATATGAGATTAATATAAAAATTATTATATATATATATATATATATATATATATATATATATATATATATAGATTGTCCAAAAACTTGTTTGGTTAAAATAAATTGAATTATTATCTTTTAAATTATATTTTTGTGTTTCTAACTTTTCTAAAATATCTTTAGTCTTTCTAAGGTTAATTGTATTAAGATTAATTGGTGAAAAATTTGAACTCTCATTTTGAAAAATATTAATATAAGGAATAACTTTTGGAAGATTTATATGAGCAAAGTAACTTTTACTATTTTTTTCTGTTTGGAAGTCTTCATTCTTGATTTTCACGGTACATTAAGGAACTGATTTTAAAACGTAGCGTCCATATATTGGTAAATTTTCTTTTGAGTTTAGGCACTCAATAATTGCTAAGTCTTCTTCTGGAACTGTAACTATCCATTTTTTTGTCGCTAATTCTTGTAGATTCTCTTTGAAATGTTCACATGACAATGCCTTTTAGACAATGCCATATTTACTCTTCTGAGTCTATTTCTGTGCATATATCTTCCATGTAGTTATAGCTAAATTCATTAAGTGCAAGGAAAGGTTTGTAAGGTAATTAAATAAGATAATTTGAGTTATTCATAGGAATAGGAATAGGGAATAGTTGGTAATAATCCTATATTTCCAATTTAACTAATGTAATCTCTAATACAAATGTAATTATAGAATTTACTGAATAGCTCTTAACATTTGTTATTTTCTCGTACTGAATTATTTTTCCTAGTGTAGTATGAAAAGGCATCAATTTTGACTTTGTCTGAGAATTTAAAAGTTCAACTGGATTTACTGTTTAAAATTGTGCAAGGTATTTATTGTGTTAAATTATCATAAATTGTTTGATAAAGTAAAGTAATTTGATTTGTTATATCTGTTTTTCTATTTTATTTTGTAACGTAATTAAAGGAATAAATGAGTTTTAATTCTGGATAATAGCTTATTTGATTTTTGAAACTTGTATAGAGTCTTTGAGGTTCATTTTTCAATAAATAAAATTATTGTATGACAAAAGTTAAATTGTAAATTTTTATAAATGCCCAGTGTGTAGAAATTATTTTGGAGGTACCTAATCTAAAAGATAGGAGTCCTGGATATAAAGTTACATTTTGGAACTTGACTAAGTTGTCTCTTGCGTTGATATAGTTGACTGCTCCGAAGATTTCGACGATAAATATGAATATTTTCATGTTTATAGACTTCAGACTATTTTTGTTCTTCCGTCTGCACCAATAGGATTCTGGGCTATGCTGGTTTCTTCTTCCTGGTCTTGGCTTCGCCAATGGGTTGTGGACAATGTTTGTTCCTAGCCCTGGACGTTTGGCTGTTAGCGTACCCGAAATGTGGATTTGTTTTGTTAATCTTTGATAAGAAAAATTGCACATAAAATTCGGCAGGGTTACACAAACACTGTACAATTTCGAAAAATTCTACTGACTGCCCCAGTTACGAATGTCAAAGTTAACTGGAGTTCATGGAATGAGAATTCAGGAAAAATCATATTTATTTTGATTTTGTGGTTTTAAATCAGATTTAATTCTAATTAAAACGAACTTAGGTTTAATTGAGTCGCATCCTACCTGCAGTAGGGGTAGCCCATCCAGCTCTCCCTGCCAGAAACAACATCTCAATTCTATCATTTCTACATCTGGGTATGCACCCGCTAAGTGCAGGTGCACCTCTTATATAAGTATGTCTAGAGCGGTGATGACAATGACCCATTGCAGCAGTTGGTATTGTTTTCATGGCACATGTTTGGGCAAGCCATCTGATGATGGTTTTGTTTATTAATCGATGTTGCTTGTAGCACTTTTGGTATCCAAACAATAGTTTCATAAGTTATTATTGGCGTGATGATATTAGTGTAGATGCAGGCCATCTACAAAGGCCCCAGCTACGTCCGACCGTTCGTCGACCAAGGTATTTCTTCTATTCAGAAAAGTTTAGACTGCAGGTTAGAATCCTTAGGGGTATTAACCCCTTGATCCTTCTTTTTGGATGAAGAGGACCATCTCCGTCTTCTTAAGATTTATAGATAGTGAGTGTTCCTTGCACCATGTTTCTATTATTAGTCTGAGAGATCAAAGCAACTTGTAATCTCTAACTGTGTTCTCAAAGTTAATGCTTTGAAGGACAGCAATGTCGTCTGCATGCTATTGTGTAGAACCCGTTGCTGCTGAGTTAAAATTATCAGGAAGGCGATGAATGCGAAATACCTGGGAAGGAGATGATTTGTACATGAATAAGATATATCTTATATTATCTTTGTTATATTTCATAAATACTACAGGGATCTACTTGATGAGCCCATAAACAAAATCAAGAGCACAATCCAAAATACCGTCGATACATCCTGTTACCAATTTCCGATCTTAAACTAATTTTTATCAGTATTTATTTTCAGTATAACATATGTGATGATATTTATATATCAAGCAGTATAGATAAAAAGCATGAAAACAAAAAAGTGAGAATAATATTTGATAAGACGAATTAACCTCTCCCTTACAAATATATTAATTATTTATCTCTCGCATAAAATGCAGTATTTTACTCAGAGCTATAATTAGCAAACTTTCTTCTCTAACAAGACAAATTGGAATTTATAGTATTTATTTATAAAATTATGTAACTTGTTCGTCACTGTATTAATTATCAGGTTTTAAAGGTCAAGTGGTATAATCGATTGTCAAAGAAATTTCTGTGGTAAATTTTTAT